ACCAAGTGAATGATTGACCATTAAGAGGTAGATCAATGAGAAAAAGCTTATCAACCAAACCCTTGAAAGTACAAATATCCCTAAGAGAGCTAGACCGCCCATTCCTTTCATTGATATTAAGGGTGACATTGAAATCACCACATAATACCCAAGGGAAGGGGTATTGGCTACGGACTCTCAATTTACCACCAACAAATATTTTTTTTCCTCTCTATCCATAGAAGCATAAATAGTGTAAACCGTAAATTTCTAATTCAGAGATTTACGGATAAGGATAACAGATATGGAGAAGATACCAATATAAGCAACTGCGTAGTCAAACATAGATTCATTCCATCCTAAGAGTACACTACCTCTAGAGTCAGAAACATCAAGACTAAGCCATGATGAGACCCTATTACCACCTAGACTTTTAGAGTACTAGGTCTAACAAAACTAAGCTTAGATTCTTGAATATCAACGGTGTCAAGACCAGCAAGAGAGATACCATCTCTAACTAACCTACATTTAATAGGGTCATTAGGACCTCTAACATTCCAGGAACCTATCTTCGTAAGAACAATAATACAACCACACTTTGACAAGGAAAAGAGGGGGATAAAAAAAAAAAATCCCCATCTCTCTCCACCTCCATAGACTTAAGTTTATCGGCCCCCTCCATTGGGATAGGCTCTTTCATGCCACAGTTAACAGAGATAGTAGCAATACCCAAGGCTGATTTATCATTGATAGGGAGGGAAATAGAGGTAATAGGATTATCCTCCTCGGGAATCGACCGTCGATTACACTGGCCGATAGGTGGCCGGACTACTTCTACCTCCGGCGCCACGTCAACCCGACCTGAAAAAAGAAGACCGTTCCCCTTCCCACTTCAACTCACGCTCGCAAATTTCCATCTTGTCATCAAAATCCTTCTCCTTCATTGGTCTTCCTACGACCTCCAATGAAGCTTACCCCTCAAGCAGACTGTTATCTTTTAGTTCCACTTACGTATGAATTTATTTCAATACTACCGTTCCCACATAAGGTTTGATTTGATGCGTGCTCAACATCTTGCACTTTCTCCACTTGGTGATGTTTCTAGCTAGGGCCCTCACTCAATTCAATTCATCATGATTATACTTTTGTAAATCACCTAGCTCCTCACATCCCCATCACAAGATTGTTAACTAAAGAATGACAATTCATATTTCCACCTCTAAAATGTTATGATTTGTTTATGATATAACTAATACTGCTACTAGTGACTTACAGTTATTCTTATTTTCAATTCGAGAATTAATTATAAATATGTACTGAATTATTCTGATTGAGATTGAAGTTTGGTCACATAGACGTCTAGTTGTAACAAAGGAGAAGCAAGTTTGGTTCTTTTACGCTAATTCAGTATTCTAGACCTCTAGCTAATTAATTTCATGTGCTTCTATGATTTGTTTAAAATAGCTTTTTTATTTTATTTTAAATTTTGGCCTTTTAGCCTGTTTAGTTATGTACCAGAGCAAGGAGCATTTGAGAGCAAAGAGAATGCAAACACGTCATTTTTGTCAACTGACAAGCAAAGAGAATAATGCTGGCATTTGAGAGCTCACCCGGTGGATGAGAAAACATGTCCACACCGTTTCAAGCAACAAAAGTCCCAATCTGTACACACCACCAACCATTAATAAAAAAAAAAAATACAGAAAACCCCAAAAAGTAATCAAAATGAAAGTCCAATGAAGAAGAAAAGAAAAAAAATTTCAAGAAACGAAATGACTATCTAACAATCCTACACCAATCTCTAAACTAAGTACCAAACACTTCTCTCACGGCCAGCTGCTGAGTTTGCTGCTGCTGCTGCTGGCAGCTGCTAGGCTCATCCTCAGACAATGAGCAGAGAATTGCTCTCGGTGGTGCTTGACTCAAATCTGACGCATAGATTTCTTTCTGTAGAATAGAACAGTAGGAGTTGAATGTAACCGGAGTTACGTTGAGCTCGAATCCCACTCCAAACAGGAAGTCCACTTCCAAGTAGTTCATCTCCATCAAGCTTATGCCTCCAACTTTTGCAAAATAGGTGTTGTTGTAGTATCTGCCAAATTTACTCAAGTATGAGAAATATACCGGATTAAGAAGAAAAAAAAATGCCGGTAATTGTGATATCAAAATCTATTTCAAGTATGTAATCGAGAGAGTCTACCTGCTTGTCTGTTTAGCATTTAGATGCTTCAGATTCATTCCAAACTTAACACTCATCATACTTCTCATGAATATAGAAAAACGAGACGTAACAGTCTATTACATAATAAAGTACTTTAACTGGCTTATTGAAATTTCAATATGAATTCCACTTTTGGTAAATATCATGTTACTTCGAATAAGGAAAACAAACTGCATGCACAGAATTTCTTGTGTAGATGCCAGTGGGCTTAAGATTATCAACGTTTCTTAATTCTTTGCTTGTAAATATCATCCTATTAATCAATTATTGGATCCATGTAGTTCAAAGAGAAACATCGTGACCACACCTGACCCCCAACCAATATACAATGCCATTTCTTTGATCAAGAATATTCCTATATCTTGTCTCTATCTTGTTATGTAATCACCTCAATGTCTATAACTACAAACTTTTGATAATATACCCACCTAGCAACAACTATAGTTAGCATTTAGACGGAACAACTGTATTTTTTTGGCCTTTTGGCAAGAACCACATGATAGCTCATAAAGTTACGTTAATACCCTCCATTGAGAATCCTCTCAAAACTCTTTGGGAGTAGAATGATACCAAGAATTGCTTTCAAGGCACGCCCACCTCACTCTTAGTTGGCAAAAGTAGGCAGGGTGGCTCATTCAACCAATCAATGTTTCTTCAATTTTGGTCCAATCATTGCCTTTCCTCTCAGAGTTCACAAAAGAATTTGAAAACAAAATAACTACTAGTCGAATTTCATAATCATCTTATTCATTATAAATCTATACTCATCAATTTTGATTCATATTTTTCTCTAAAACGATTTAGAGCAATTCATTAAATAATATATGGTTGTGACTGAGAAATCAAAACCTAAAAGAATAAGAAACTAGCTAAGAACTCTTAACCAAAGAAACCCATCAAGAATTCTCAATTTTTCATGTATAAAACAAGCAATATTAAACCAAATAATCAATCCAAATTTCAAAAAAAAAAAAAAAAAAACATAAGAACTCAATTAAGCTCAAAATTAATTAAAAAAAAAAAAAAAAAAAACATAAGAACTCAATTAAGCTCAAAATTACTACCACTCACATGTCATCCATGAACTTGACCGCGGCAAGAACGCTGGTGATAATAAACCGGTGAACATTGAAGGAATCAATGGAGACCGCCGGATTCCGGTGAAGAAACCGATCGAGGTAAATATAAGCAACCACATAACAAGACGGGCTACAATTGGCATACCGAAATATCCTCTCCAAGTATCCTCTCACTGATATTGAAGGCTTTGAGAGGCCTTGGAATGCTGAGCAAGCCGTGGTGGGCCTTAACAGGCCGGGTCGGGTTGCGTCGTTGCGGTCGGCGACACGTTGGAGGAGGGAGGAGAGGATGGAGACTATTCTTGGGACTCCATAGGGGTCTTCAATGAGTTTGCTCATTTTTTGTGTTTGTTTTGTTTGTTTGTTCTTTCTTCTCTTGAGAGAAGAGAAGAGAAGAACAAACTTAATTCTGAGGTTAGTTTTGGTTTTGGCTTGGAGAGAGAGGAGAGAGTGGAGAATGGAGATATATAGTGTAGAGAGAGAGAGAGAGGGGGTTAGGATGAGATTAGGGAAGGTTAAAAGTGAGGGGGTTAATGGGTTGAGGTGTATTAGGGAAGAGGTAAATAATTGGAAGATAGGTGATGGGATCTGATCTTGCATTGGAATTTGGAAGAGAGGAGGAGGATACTTAGGGACTAGTTGTCTTGTGTATAGGGTTTTGGGTGGATGAATTAGGGTGAGAGGAAAAAAAAATTTAATGTTGCACGTAGTGTTTTGTTTCTCTTTTAGCAGAAGATACTAATAATTTCTTTTCTTTCATTTTTATCCTCCGAAGAAGAAAAGATAGTATTGTCATCACTGTTGTTGGAACGTGCGCGGAATAATTAGACATCATCCAACATACAACCATAACGATATGATTCGTTGTCAAAAAATAGTGAAGAGATCACTATTTTTATCGCATTCATTGAATGTTCAATGGAGGTGATTTTTCTTTGGGTATAAATTATGAATGAGCGCAATTCGTGGTGTCATAAGAGTGCTAGATTTATAAATAATAATACTATTAGTTTGACAAATTTATGGCCGTCATAAAACAAAATTGTATCTCCACTATTTTTCTTTAGTAGATAAGATACAAATTCGATTAGATATGCACCAACGTTATGATTATATGCCTGATTTGAAATAAAGAGGATAAACAATCTTCAACATTATGAATTCTTCAGCGATGGATGTTATTACAATACAACACATCGAGTTTTGATTTGTGATATAAATCTCCCCATGCGGTTAAACAACCCTATTTTCTATTTTTTTTTAAAAAAGAAAGAAAGACCTAGGGTTTTCATCATTAAAAAAAAGGCCTTAGTTGTAATGTGACAGATTATAGTTAAACATGATTATTAGGATCCTAATTTCAAATGGGCATTTGAGTTCTCCTAATTTCAAATTATGATGATATCAAAATCAGTCAAAATCACGACTGTATAGTCCAGGTTGGTCACTAAAATCTGACACAGAGGAGAAATTCTGAGTGTCGGCAGAATGTTTCGATTTGATGGAAATTAAATCTCATGAGTTCCAAGATTTCCAACAAAATATATATGTTCATCAAAAAAAAAAAAAAAAAAATTGTCCCTTTGACAGTGTGAAAGAAACTAAGTAAAACAAATTCATATCCAACTAAAAATCAGCTGGTGTCCCTTTATAATGTTCGGATTCCTCAGATCCTTTTGTTTTAGTATAGAAACTATCATATGATAAGTTCAGAACATAGATTTTAAGGATATTGCAATGATCCAAAAATTATTATTCTCTTGATGTCCAACCATCCAAGTAACATGAAGCCAACAAAAAAGCATACGCATGAAAACCCCACCCTCACCTAACTTTCCTGCTGTATCATATGCTGTAATATATTTTTCGAGGGAAGTACAACAATCACATTTCTTTTTGCCTAATATATTGAGATCAATGTGATCTTTGTCCAAAATTAATAAACTCCACAATTAAGGGAGTTAGTTGGATGTATAATGAGAAAGAAAATTGCTTTCAGGCACAAAGCTAGCTCTCGTGTTATCCTGGCTAAGTCCTGCTGGCAAATTGAAGGCTGCGCTGTCTGACCTAGTGAGAGCCAAGAGTGTTTCAATTAACTCAAGCTAGCTACACACTTTTGCTTTGAAACTTAATTAAAGACTTTTTAAGGGTAAATTTTATAAAACCCCCTATAACATTTTCCGCTAATAATCAACAAAAATTACAGCCAATCTCTCAAATCTTGATCTTTCCTTCTTCTACCGTCTCAATTTTTCTCTCTTTTGGATACTTTCTCATTAAGTAGATGAGATCATAAAAGCATGAGCTTTCTGCCTGTATGGAGCGAGCGGTGTGGACCTCTTACCTACGCTCATAGAACTTGTACTCTAATTTATGGTTTAAAAAAAGCCAATACTAGCATAAGCAAAGCTAATTAAGAAGTGTAGGCGTCTAAAAATGCCTATTGGTGTCCGCACACAGCTCGAAACAAATAGTGGATGATTCAAGAAGAATTATCCAATTGGCCGCTGCGCACGTCAGTCAGCTCGCGCACGTCAGTCAACACGCACCTGTCGGTCAGCCCGCGCGCGTCAGTCAGCCATAAGTGACCAGATGCACTCGTCAGTCAGCTCGCGCGCGTCAGTCAGATCCAAAGTGCCCGACGCGCCTATCAGGCAGATCCAAAGTGCCCGTCGTGCTTGTTGGTCAGATCTAAAGTGACTAAACGCACTCGTCAATCAGCTCACGTGCATCGGTCAGCTCCAAGTGATCGAACACACTCATCAGTCAGCTCGCGCGCATCGGTCAACTTCAAGTACCGTAAAGAAGCTAACGAACGTATGAAACAAGTTAACAATGCATACAAGTCAACAAGACGATCAAATACACAAAACGGTAGAAAATACAAGTCCCGAAAAATCAAAAAACACCAAAGGTCAAAACCCTCGCGCCCGCGCGGTTCGGTCGCAACCGACCCACGCCCACGAGGGTCGAATGCAACCGACCCGCGCTCGCTCAGGTCGGACGTGTC